GTCGTGATATCGAAAAGCCCACTGCCACGGCAGGAGTCGTGTACCGGAGCTGGTGCAGTTGTGGACAAGGCAACTACGTCGGAAAAACCGAGAATTTACTCCGGAAGCGAATGGCCGACCACGCAGCAGCGGTGAGGAGGAAAGAAGCTAACTCCCAAGGTTGCAGCTCACGCGACGAGACCCAGCCATATTTCCAGGTTTAAAAAGGCCAAAATCTTTGCAAGAGGTGAAAACCGTGTTAGCCGCGAGCTGCCCGAGTCATGGTTCTCAGGCCCGCAGTCAATCAACGGGCGCAATGACTTCCCGTTCCCATATTCCCTACTGAGACTTTGTCTGAGTAGGAGAATCAGTCACGTGGGAAGAGCCCAACCCAGCAATAACTCCGATGGCAGCGAGCACAATTGTCGCGCAAGTCCCAAGCCCGCATCCGACACGGGCAAGGAAATCGCGGTAATTAATGAGTCGAACGCGAAGTGTCAAGCCATCACCGCACCAATTAAGACCCCAAGCGGTGACTACAGAAGTGAATAGTTATAGTACGCACGCGGATGACAACTACGAACTATAAATACCGTACAATCTGTACACGTTGCACCTTCTATCTGCGCATGACTCAGACTAACCTACCATTACCTATGATTAAGGATCCCCGACGGGACCCGAAACTTCAGGAAATAAAACTATCGTTCCAGTGGTCGCATCTCCTTTTTCTGAACTGCTTCCTGGAACTCGCATATCCACTTCTTTTGACAATCTGTTTGGGCGCGATGCGCCCCGATCGGCTCGACGGTGGGAAACATTTGCCCTTCGAGAGTCGTCTACTTATGCATAAATTTGATTATTGCACAGGTGCCTCGACAATAATGTGTTACCAAAATGTGTTTCGTACAGACCTCCGGTTAAAACAGAGTTGGCGAGAAGCAAAGAATTTCAGCACGGCAGATGTATGATCCGAGTGACCCTTCAAGACTGTCACGCGAGGCTTCGCAAGTATCGTCAGAGGATTGACGAAGAGAAGACGAAGTGCTTTGAGTTCATGGACGAGAATTGTACACAACTGCTGAGGCAGGGGGTGGCCAAACAATCCCGCGACCACAAAGCGAAGCGAGAGGCAGCACTTGAAATTAACTTTCGTAAGCTTTCTCGTCCAAATTCATCCAAAGATGACAAACTTTTGCACAAACTGTCATGCAAGTAGCTGAAGAAATGCCGGTGTTAAGGCATGAAGCCTCATTCCATACAACTGGTGCCAGATCTGCTAACATGGTTGTTGCAGTAGAATCAATTCTCAGCCAAACAGATACGACAGCCCACATCCAACACAGATGACGAAATCGCGGCCATTAATGACTCGGAAGTGGGCTGCCAAGTCATCATCGCACCAAGTACAACCCTCAGCGGTGATTACGATTTCGGTAGCTGCTAATTATAGTGCGCATGCTGTCGCGCGGCCACTGCGTCATCCATGTACGTGTCACCCTCATCTGTGCATGCATGACTCTGCTGTGCAGTTACGTCTGATGAAGGCTTCTCGACAGAATCCGAAACGTCAGGCGAATCAACTCCTAGTTCCAGCGATCGCATCCCCTACTTCTGAGCGGGCGTTTTACTAAACAGGATCTAATTTATTTTCAGTCAACTTCCTGAAAACTTTGCACTGAAAACATGCACAAAAATATCCTTTCTTATCAAGGAATTTCGCAGATTTTCTTCATTTTAGTTGACCCAATTGTGAAAAAAACTCGCGGCGTCGGTGAGAGTCGAACCCGCACAACAGGGAAGGCCTTTGCGCAGCCAACGCTCTACCGATTTGAGCTACGAGGCAACGCATTGCACCGTACGTTTTTTACAACTGGCTCAACTAAAATTAAGCGAATATGCCAAAACCCCTTAACTTTCACACTTGGGTCAACTCAAATCAAGCAAATCTGCCAAACAATCTTAATCCTAAGTCAGCCTAGTAGTCATTCTGGTGGATTCTAGATGATTGCTTAGGAAATAAAGTCAGCCTAGTAGTCATTCTGATGGATTCTAGATGATTGCTTAGGAAATCTTCCTTGGGCAGTCAGCTTACTGTTCCATAATGGTGGACTCCATACGAGCGATAAGTTGGGGGGCAGGGTAAAGTCGATCCAAGTGTGATTAAACTCATGGCGCAAGGCGTGGCGTCGTAGCTCAAATTGGTAGAGCGTTGGCTGCATAAAGGCCTTCCCTCCTGTGCGGGTTCGACTCTCGCAAACGCCGCGGGTTTTTTTCACAACTGGGTCAACTAAAATATCCTTTCTTGCTGTAGCATGCTGTGGCAAGAGTCCAGTCATCGCCAGACGAAACAGCCAGGGTTGGTGAATCCTGGACCAGATTGGAGTACAGCTATGTACTAATCTATGTCCA